TAGGTGATGGTGTCGTTGGGGGCCGTGGGGCACTGGGTGATGGAGCTGACGCCGTCGTTCTGGTTGGTGTAGTTCTGGCGAATGCCGTGGAAGTGAATGCTGGTGCCGTTGTTGGAGGTCGTCAGAGAGTTGGTGACGTGAACGACGACGGTGTCACCCCAGTCAGCGAAGATGGTCGGGCCCGGAATGGAGCCGTTGACAGCCATGGCGGAGCGGGAGACTCCATCAGGAGCGACGGTGACGTCGGTCAGCTCAAGATAGTACTCGCGGGTGACACCGGTGTCGGGCGCCTCGGTCCAGTAGTCGGTGTCGACGGAGTAGTCGCACCACTCGCTTCTCGTGCTGGCAGTGTTGCCGCTGCAGGTAGCGCGAGGAAAGAGCTGGGCCTCGGGGCCATCGGAAAGGGCACCGAAGCCGGGCAAGGCAGAGGCCATGGAGCCCGCAAGGGCACCGGCCATGAAGAGAGACTTGAACATGATGATGTAGTGATTGTGTGTGCCAAGAGAAGGTTAAAAGAAAGACTGTATGACACGAGTCGGAAGGACTAGAGAGGGAGTGAGGGAGAGAAAGACGAAAGCGAATGGAAGCGCAGCCAATACTGTGCTGGATGAGGAGTGAGTGAGAATAGCATCAAACAAGCAACGGATGTCTATAACTTAAGTATTCTTGTGAGCCCGCAACGCAATGTCGGCTTCACGGGCGGCTCACGGGAAGCGCGATAGTCAACGGATGCTAAAAACTCTATTTCCCCATTGAACTTGGGTGTGTTTACCCTGCAGGTGTTTCCTCATTCGGTCCACAATGACAGAAGTCGTCAATCGGTCCTGTTTCCTTTGGAGCCGCTTGAACCGAATCTGACGATACCATGGGCATCCCGAAGCTATCCACTGGAACCACAACTTGCACTTGCCCCAGTAGGTTAAAGATCGTCAATGCAAAGGCCAGTCCGGCTCGAGATTCAGCGAAGGAAAAACATTCTGGATGCGGATGATTTCACGATAATTCCCATGTCGATGAAGGCCCGAAGGGGTTAACCTGAGACTGACCCCTTTGAGATCCATGCGCGGGCTGTACGGGGGTCGTAAGGTGGTACGTGTAAAGCGAACCGCAGTTGGGCTGACTCGCAAGCAGCTGAGTCTTATTTCCTCTATGCGAGGCATAGGTCAGGGGAAGCTGGGGTTGGTAAGGTGTTGTGCTCCACTGCAGCCTCGCAAGGCACGGCAACTCAACTGTTGACAGGCGTAATGGGTTTATCAGGTGGATGTGAAGGGACGATCAAGGGCCGGTGTGCCGTCGGTAGAGCCTTCAGACTTGGGTGGCCGGTCTGCCCGACTTGTCGGGAGGGTGGGAGGCACTCCGGAGAGCCAAGCCGGCCGATGAGCTCCACCAGATCGCTCCTGATTTAGAAACTTCCGGCTCCGCTTTGCGGAAGGAAAACGTCTGTGCGGCATAGCTTCAGCCTCGCGGGTGGCCGTCTGCGAGGACTATCAATCTATGTAGATGGCCTTTAGTGGGTTGGTTACACTGCAGGTTGGGAGAGAAGGAGTTCGTGGTCCCTTGCGCAGCCTCCTCTCCTTACGTGGTCCCATGGCGACACCATCCCCCTTTTGTGACGACAATGGATGAAATGTGGTGGGCCAGACCTATGGAATCCCTGCTATATATCAAGCTCACCCCGGGAATCAGTATCCACAGATCCCGGGCCCTATCACGGGCCCCTGTTCATCCCACATACCGAAACGAGAACTCTGAAAACCCCCGTTGACAGGCGCCCCTCCCGGGATGGCCCTAGCCGCAACGGCGCTCCCGCTGGATCTAAATGGCCAATGGCCGTTTCCGTCCAATCTCGCGGCAAAAGCTTGACTGGATGCCGAACGGCAATGACCGATGCGTCAAGGAGGTTGTGATGGTCTCAAATACACTACTGTGGTTGATGGGGTTGATTGTGCCTCCACTGTGATCAACACGGTGGAGTCCGAGCCTCAAGAGCCAACGCGCCTATTCCGCATCCGCGCAGTGATTTGTTGATTGCAACCTGTTTTGGGAACCAAAGTTTCCCTTGCAACCATGGCCAACAGGAACCGTCTTCGGGCCTTTGCTACCTGACTTGGATGAGTTGTGGTGCCGCGGTGGCGTAGCCCGAAAATTTGCACGTAAAGTTGCAAGTCATGACATGCCGGCCAGGGCGGCTTGAGGCGGATCATCCGAACGGCATCGATTTGCCGCACTTTTATTTAACCAACTTCATCCCCTCTCCAGCTTCACTCTCCCGGCCCCCCCACCACTCCGGTTCCCTTCACCACGATCACTCTCATTCAGTCCATCGTTCTCCCCCATCGAGTCTCCTTACAGTCTCATCCAGTCGTTTACTCCATCACAACTCCTTTCTTTTCGAAACACAACTCACCAAACCCATACGCAAAAATGTATTCCTTCGGCACTATCCTGCTGTCGTTCGCCGCTCTTGCGGTTGCGGCTCCTTCGGAACCCCGCGCTGTTGCCAGCGATAACACCAGCCCTTTCCAAGTCTACGCCTACGGCGAAGGAATTGGGGGCCTGTCCATGTTCTCTGCAGGAGGTAGTAAGGCTGGTTTAGGAACTTTTATCTTTTAAGAGAATTGACAAGGTTCTATTTGGAACTTTGACAAAATTCTCTTCCTGTCTCTCTTTTGTTGATAACCCGTCCAGCCCGGGTTGCGAAACCCCCCTTGGAAGGCTTTAGACTAACACGATTGTGACTAGGCGACGCTTACTTTGGTGACCACACCAAGTTCAACGATTCAAACGCCGCTCCGGTGATCTGTACGTCCATCATCTTTAGGTTCTATATTCAATAAGAAACTAACGTACTTGATAGTTACCCCCACCGACAACAACGGCTGGCTCGGAGCCCCTAACACTACGGCTCTCAACTCCACCTCCCCTCCCACCTGGTCCAACCTCACCTTCTCCATCCCCGCCGAAGGCTCTTCGGACCACGACGTCGGCTTCCTCAGCTCCAACTCATCCTCCTCTGACCGCCAGACCAGCGGCTTCGTCTTCTACGGTACCTTCATTTTCGTCGAGGCCTCCTCTGGCGGCATGGAGTCTTTGTGGTATGCTACCCCCAGCTCCATCAACGGCATCTACTCTCTCAAGTGGAACGACACCAGCGACGCCACTGAAGACAAGATCGTCCTCACACTCAAGAAGACTGCGCCTTCCAACGCCAGCAAGACCAAGGCCCGATCCTTTTAGATGGTGACACGCCTCGTCATCTTTGTGAACTGATGGAACTTTGGAAATCGGCGCAATCTTCTCTCGTAGTGTATTTGGGTTAGATTACTGGAATCAAGATGCATTACGAGTAAGGCTACTAGGGTGTTTAGGAGGATCAGGGACAGCGGATGTACTTAGAACATGCAATAAATGGGCGTGAATGTTTGCAATTCGGACCAAATTACTTTCCCCAACTTCGTGAGAATATCATTCATGCTCGTGACATTATGGTACTAGTACAAAAGTCGCTGACTTATCGACGTTCGCTGGCAACCTCTTCAGCCGACACAGGCAATCTCTCTTCCGCGCCGAGAACTTTCGATGCATTTGTCGTCTTGCCACGGGTATCGGGCTCCTGGCCAACATCCAATCGCCGTTCTCTAAAGTTATCCTTGCCAGAAGCTCCAACTCCCTCAAGCCCAGCGCTCTCCATGTCACGGCGACCGACGTTAGCCCCGTGCAGCTCGGCGCTGGTCTGGCCCTGCACAGGCTTACCCAACCCAGTGTGAACGTCCCCGCTCGTGGCACCGGGGAAATCGTGCGCGGCCGTATACGTAGTAGCCTCAGGGTTCAGGGCCTGGCCGGGGATCTCTTGCGCGTTCTGGGGCTGGAAGGTGTTTTCTCTGGGTGCTGTGCCGGCGGGGTATGCTTGGGCGTGGAACTCGGGGTATGCGTCGTTGCCGACTTTGGTACCCGGGGCGTGCTATTGTATTGGTTGGTTAGACATGGGAAGTGATTACGAATGCGTGGGATTGGGATTGATGAACTTACGCCTTTGGTGGTGAGGGGCTCTGAGCGAGGGACGCTGGGGTGGAACTCGCCTTGCTTGTTGTTGATGGACTCAACGTTACGGTTGACTGACATTTTGATTGGATGAAGTATTTCGAGGTATGTATTGAGCTTGCGATTGGATGAACTTGGAGTTGGCGATGATTCGGTGGTGATGATTAATCCTGAGCCTTGTTTCCTAGGTTGTGTTGATAGAATGATCTTGAAAGCTCACATCCTCCGTCAATCATCATCCGCTTAAGTACTCAATTTGCCGCATCGACGTTGCCCTTATGATTCCATCTGAAGTGTGTATGATGTCACTTTCAGATTACATCAACACGACGAGGAATGAGATAACAGAGCCACTTTTCTGCGAGTTGAATAAATCAAATATTCGAAGGGCCTGGCCTAATCAGTGACGAGGGGCAACAGCGGATCGAGGAGTAAGCCAAAGTCAAACGCAACGCAAAGTATCATGCAGGATCCAGTGTTGAGTGGGCGAGTATTAGAAATCTGGTCTCCACAGAGCCGCCCAGGCGCAATAATGAGATCAACTTTCGGACATTTTCGTCCGGTTCCTTGGGCCGCTGAGTTTCGGTGGGTATGGCCAAGCTCACCGAGTCTCACCGGCCACTGTTGGTTTCCACACCAAAATGGATCAACGCAGAAAAGAGACGACATGACGTACATTGTAGTCCACTTATCCGCAAATCTGCGACTGATTGCTTGGCCCAAACAGCGGACCAAGCCAATTCGCGAATATTCCACTACTCCAGCCCTCCACGTCTTATCAAGAACACAATCAACGTTACACACGTATACATCGTTAAGTTCCCACAATGAAAACATTCTTGAACGTTTCATCATGATTTGGATGGGCCCATAATCGGCTTGTCCTCTTCACACCAATCTCCTATAAGGTTGTTCGCCTCCAACTTGTGATCTTCTCTCATCTTCCCCCCCTTCGCTAATCAATTCCCAGCTAAAACCTTCAACCTCGGAAGAAGAGGCCCATCTTTTGGCCGTTGCTCGTTCCCTAGAATAAGGTCACGAATACAATCCAATTGCTTCTGCCTCTCTGAATCACCCGCATCTCTGCACCACCCCTCTAGCTTTTTCTTCTGTCTCTCAAACTGCGCCATCGTTGCCATGTCCGTGTCGACGTGACACCCGATCGACATAAGCAAGAGCCTCCGCGACGAGTCGTGGATCTCGTCGCGAAGCATCTTGTCTGCTTGCTGCGAGCCCTGCGCGTAGCGACAGTCGGCCAAAACGGCACATGCTTTTCCGAAATGGGACTTTGCATCTTGGATGTCTGCATGTTTGGAGTTTGGCGAAGACTCTCGCTCCAAGAGGTACGCCTCGGCGCGGTCGTAGCATTGCTCTGCCATATCGCGCACACCGGTTGCAAGTTCTGCTTCAGACGCGACGAGGACGCAGTAGCCTAGGATGAAGTGGCCGAATTGAACAATCAGCTTTGGGTCATCTGAGTAAGAGCACTGTACGTGTGTGTATCGCTCCAGTGCCATGTTCAAGATTTTGGGATCCGTCTGTTGTTCATCTTTTGCCTTTTTGGCGTTCAGCACGAAAATCAGGTAAATCATCACCAAACTCCATCTGCCCAGGACTTTGAGCACGTTGGCTTGGAGATCATCGCAAATGCGTTCCATACAGGCTTTGAATTCTGGGAACAGAGTGTTTGTGAGGAGTTGATCTACTCTCTGTGCTAATTGGACAAACTCATGGTCTCTCGGTAAGATGGCCTTCGAGGATGTCACCAAGCAGCGCGCCAACTCGTTGATGGCTGCAGTATCCGATGATTGGTTGAATGAGCTTAGAATGCCGATTGGTACCGCGGGGTGAAATGACTTTAACAGCTCGTTAACATGGTCATTCATTCGCGACTTAACCGCAACTGATGGATTGTTCACAAGGCAACCTCTCAGATGACTTTCATGTTTAAGCTCCTTCTGAAGCGTGCGGTAAATCGCGAGGTGGTCGTCTGTTGGGGTGCAGTCGTCCCACGCCATAGTCGGCGGCCGCCCTGGGACGAGTTTCGAGAGTATCAACGTCGCTAATGTCACAATCTCTTTGCAAAGCATGTCAGGGGTCATGCCAGTTTCTTTCTGGTTTAATTCAAATGGTGACCTGTATCCGTACGTGGCTGGTGTCGGCGGGAGGGTTCCTGGGCGTGGGGTATCGACATACGTCGTCGAGCGCGTGTCAAAGACTCGATGACCTTCGTGAGGAGACGACGCTGGCGTGAGTGCCGGCGAGAAGAAAGCGGGCGCTTCGATTGGAGAAGTAGGGCTTGAGATATCGCTGGGAGGTGCGGCTGCAAGATTCGACCCTGGATCAATGTCTCTGGGTAGCGGTGCCTCAAAGGGCTTGCGCTTCTTGTTTTTCCCGATACCCCAGGTCTTGAACCGTCCTTTGTACATGCGCTCTCTGTACACGTTTCCCTTAGTATTGTACAGGTTTCAAAGCCCTGACACAACTGAAGACAATCTTACGTCGCATAGAATCCATGTCTTTTAAGTCAAACCCCCCACTTCCCGGCACCCCCCTGTTTCTGGCACCCACAAAAACGATGGGATCACAACCCAACCTCCTCATTACTATTAACTATTGATCCTCAACCACACCCACTACAATACAACTGCCAGCCTCACTAGGGCATTCAGAGTCGCTGGATTCAGCCGTAATAACCTCCTTTTCACCCGCTTCGATTTGAGCCCGATGGATATCCCTGATGTTCGCAAACTTCGTGTTGGGATCGATCTGAACAGTCTTCCTCTTCCTAACTGCAGCGTTGGTAACTTGAGCCCTCAGGTGAGCCAGCTGCTGCTGGGCAGCTGCCAGTTGCCAGGCCTGCTCTGTGAAGCCTTTTTTCACCTTCCTGAACAGCAGCCGTTGAGTGCTGGTATCATTGTCGAGTTGGGTGTATAAGTGCAGTTGACCGCTGAGCTCTGCCAGCTTCCTGGGTGTCGACCAGACCACTGCAGAGGAAGCAGAATCCCATGGCTCAACAGGGGTAGTTTGTTGACCATTATGGCATCGCTTTTTGCCCCGACTGGTTGGTTTGGGTGTGGTGGGCAGCAGAAGGCTCAGGTAATACCATAGGGTTCATCAGGGGCTTAACCATCGCTACAGGGTGTAGACCAGTCCACTTCCAACCACTTCTGATGTTCGAGACTGATAGACCAGCAAGTCGAGCCTTCTGGTAACAGTCCAGGAAGTTCCTTTTACCTATAATGGTAGAGTCGTTCCATTGAGACAAGTAACCGAGCTCCTTCCGATAGGCTGACTTAACAGGGCTGAAGACAGACTGGTCAAGTGGCTGGAGGACATGAGAGGAGTGTGGTGGTAAGAACAGTAAATGGATATTGTTAATATAGCAATTCCACATGAAGTCTGTCGTCGTATGACTCCCATGCCCATCCACAATCAACAGTCGAGCCTCGCCCTCAGCCTCGGGCATAGTCTGTGGGATAAACACCTTCTCTAACCATTCAATGGCAGTTAAGTCTGTAGTCCAGCCATTATCTGTTGCTGTAAACTCCCACCCATCGTATGGAACCAGATGTAATGGAAACCACTGTTGTTGGACCGTCTTCCCTTGAAAATGATAAGAGGACGAAGTGCCCTACCCAAGGCTGAGATACACTCAATGATAGAGACCCATGCCCTCGACCCAGGTTGTTTCTTGCGAACAGACGTCGTCTCAGCCATGCCCAGCACTAACCCATTAGCTCCTGACCCTCGAGGATGCCAGTCTCATCCATATTATATCTGTTGGCTGGTTTGATGTCCTTGATCTCAGGGATAGCAAGGAACTTAAACCAGTTCCTAATGACCTCAGTAGATGCCCCATTAACGCGTCTAGAATCGATGGAACGACTTCTCTGAACCTTAATGATAGGGTTCCTTCTCACGAAGGCATAGATCCAGCCTTTTCCTAATGGTTTGGTATCCCCAGCAGCAGCCAGAACTCGCTCTGCGAATTCCTTCACCTGTTGGTGCGTTGGTGCGAGGCCCAGCGAAGCCTGAATGCGAACCCATTGTGCCAGCTTACTCTCCTGGTCAGGAGACAGCCTCTGCCAGTCAGCAAAAGCCACTTTCCTAGTCTGAAGTCTGACCACCTTGGAGACGTAGTTGGAGGGTTGATCGTGGTATCCCACTCCAATGAGGCTCTCTTTTGACTCTTGCCGTTTGAGATGTCCTCGAGAGCCTGACGAAGCTGATCTTCGGTATATTGAGGCATTAGATATAGAAGAAGGTATGTGCAAAAAATGAGCCCATTTGGACTCGAATTGAAAATGTTGTGATAAAAGGAGGTTGGGGGTGGGCATTGCGTTGTGGTGGATTTTCGCGTTTTTGTGGGTGCCAGAAACAGGGGGGTGCCGGGAAGTGGGGGGTTTGACTTATATAGCTCATCTTTGATGTGCTTAAGGGTTCTGGTGGTATATAATTTGGTGATGAGGGGCCTGTGCTTCTCCCATTGCTCGGCAGTCGGCTGTTCAGGCATTGCGACGGCGGTCAAGTCGACCCGTCCGGACGAACTATCGGCGATGGTAGTCGGCGTACAGTGGCACCGGTCAATGTGACGAGAACTCGGAAGGCGGGGGCAGCGAGGGAGGGGAAAGCGGTCTGCCGTAAAGCTACATGTATGCAAACAGTTTGCGGCACAACGGACATCGGCATGGATTGATTTATGAATTGTGCGATGGGTTTGCATGTTGATGGCGTTTGCCAACGAACTCGCTGACAGCTACAGGTGAGATTCCGTCATGCCGACCAATTGTAATGAGACGATGTTACAAGGATGGATCAGATGCATCCCAATTTGACCAGTCATAACAAAGTACCATGCATAATTAATGGGGTCTAACTTTCTGACTTTGCCGTAAAGGGCTCAACACCACGAATTTGGTTCCTGGCGAACCAAGTGCGCACCATCTCGAAAGGCAACCTTTGGTGTGAGGCATGCCGAGAATGGGCTATCCGGCTATCTCGTAGTCTCTGTCTTGACAGTGAGGCAATCTGGTTTGCACTTTTGACGTAAGCATGACTGGCCTCTGTGACTTTCATTCGTCCAACTTTATGCAACGGTGAACTGGCAAGTTGTGCAATGCTCAGATAGACCGATCAGCGAAGGACTACTTGAGCCTCATCATCACGTGCACCCTCAATAACTCCATCGCAGGAAACTCTCGACGGGTGATGCCTGCTATATGCAAATAGATCTGAGAGAACGAAATTGCATTACACTTTTTGGAATAGGTAATTTTGGGCAGTCTCAATGACACAAGTGGTCATACCATCATTAGGTCCATTAATCATTTTCGTAAGATTAATGATCAATACAAACGATTGGTCCCTTGGCGAATAGCGAAGTTTTGATTGTCATAATGGATGTTCACTAGCTAACGTCAGCGGCTCATGAGAAATAAAGGCATGGCGGCCTACACGCATTTTTCACTTGCCTTTAACTTGAATAAAGGCTCGGCAGGTACGGATTAATAACTCGAAGTTCAACATTTGCTCAGACGAAATAAGAATAATCTCATTAGCCCCGTTCTACTAGCAAGACTTATAAACTAGCTCAAGCCTACTCAAGAAGGTTTTCATCTCTTGAGACCGTGTAAGAAGATCCAAGTTAGATAAACGTCGAATTGATATCTCTTCAATTTTAGCAAGAGCCTTCCTAGTGTATTAGATAGAGCATTGCGTTGCCAGATACAGGCCAGTTCTGTGTATGATTAGAGTTTGATGCCATATGAGGACATCAAGCTTTTGGGTTGAGAAGGGGTGATCCAACTACAGCTGAAAAGGTAATGGGTGGTTTGGGTTTGTAGCAACACTTACAGTCAAATTTCGCTTAAGCAGTGCTATTTCTAACAACCAACAAAAAAGAGCGTATAGCAGACTTGGAAGCAACGCCAGATACGATAAGTTTGCTATTCCAATGGAAGGAAGGACAAAAAGTTGGTTCAATTGCCAGTGTTTGACACAACACCCCGTCCCAGATGTCACAGCCATGCGGTCTGATTAGATGCATGGTCTTGTGAACTCAACTCGGCTGATACACTCAATGACATACATCGTCACGGCTTCGGCGAACCAATTGGACGGGTTTTGCTTTTTTTGTTGAGACATCCAACGAGTGTTATCAAGTGCAAATTGATCATCTCTTCATATCATCTATGGCAATACAATGATCTATCTCATTGCTCTGGATTGAGTGGAATTGGGATCTTTCTAGCCACGTACTTACTCCTGGTCGCGGCTACAGCGCGTTATTGTCTGGGCTTCAATGTGAAACTCCACAACTTGATACAATCTATTCATTTGAAAATGCTTGTTTCACGATATCCATGTGTGCTTTCTGCGTACTTAACTTGTAAAATATACCAGGCTCGACTTCGCCAACCTCTAACTTGCTAATAATCTTGATGAGCTCTGCTCACCTGCTTCAGATTAATTGTAGCCGCATATGCGAAAGGAAGCAGACTGTATATCGCGCGCGCAAACATCGCGTTGAGCCATGCTTGACTTTGCCTAGGCCAAGATACTGGGCGATTGACTACCTACCTCACCTGAGGCTGTGATCTGCATCATCTAGCTGACGCGGCAGTGCAGTACATTTGCACCTTGCGGACATCCATCAAGCTATTAATAGAGCCAATCTCAGTCAAAAGATAGGTTGATGTCGTCGGCTAGTAATCATGCCCGAAGCCTCCCGACCTATTCCCTCCAACAGACCTGAGCCAATCGTTGGCCCAGCTTGCCTAGTCTGCGAAGTTGTGTAGATCCAAATAATCGACCCTTGTTTAGCGGAAGCTAGCAACAGTTGACGATGATTCGAACGATACACCTTGCCGAACTTGGCAATACCCAAAGACCATACTAAAGCTGCTGTGCTACATGCATGGGGATAGGGGTCACGGACTTACGCATCCAGCCCTGGTCGTCAGCAACATACGTACGTGCGGTCGTCGTCCTGACTAGTGCATCTAATAGTTTGGCAAGTCGGCGGAGTGAAGACGCACCCCCGCAATGGGACGGATGCCGGGGTGCCGTCCGGGTAGCGGTGGCAGGTTCCGGCGAGCCGGCCGATCGTCTTGTGGGGTGCTCTCGGGATGCAACGTGCGGAAAGGCCCACGGCGGAGCAAATGCGAGCGCCAAGCCTTGCCGGGCTAGTCCAAGACGAGCTGCCTTCTTTGGTGAGAATCGCCTTTTCTAGTCAATTGCAGTGGTTGCAGAACATCGTCATGTCTATTTCTGGGCAACTGCGGCTGGGAAACGGTTTCTGATCGTTTGGTGGTCTTGCACCGGCGGAACCCCTGCTCGGCTTCGCCCGTTCCGCCGCCCGTTCCGCAAATACTGCCCACGATGATTAAAGAGTCAGTCGCTCGCATTTGGCTTGGTGAATATGGAACCCAACTGATTACTACTTGAGTATTGTAGACTACCTCGTCCATGTATCCTCCAACATTAGCGCGCCCACTTCACGACATCTTCCACACTAATTACAACTTTTCTGTGTCTAATGTGCGGAAGTTGTCACCTTTATCCTACTCGCAAGTCAACGGCTTCAACCTGCGCACCTCTATCGTCTTGCGAGTATTGCGTTTTTTGATGGGTTTCCCGGCAAACTTCTCAGATATCAGTCAAACAGGAACTGCCCAAGACCCTCATGCAAGAGATTTGCAGAGCAGATAACATAACAAGGTATGGTCAAGTTCTTCAAAGTTTCGTTGTCCAAATACACTAGTTCTGATTTGAGGTGCCACGCTAAAGACTGTGAGGTTCCCAACGTCGCATCATGAAGTCGGCGTTGCCTTCTCGTCAGGTTTGAACTCTCCTCGACTGGCACTGCGAATCTGTGGCTCTAGGGGAAACACAGACTTCTCCGGAGTGACTCCCAAGTACACACGATCCCACCGCTCCCGCAAGGCATCCGGCGTCGTCCATGCGTGCTCAGGATCCCGAAGCCATAGCCGGATTAAATGCCGTCTATCTACGTCAGCTTGCGAACACCTATTTAGACACCGTACACGACTTACTGCTTTTCCTCAGAATCTATGAACCCTCCACGGGCATGAAATATGCTCAGATTGTTGGCATACTGAATGTCGCCTTGATGAAAGTCCAAGTGGGCGGCATATTTCTCGGCGAGGAAGTGTAGGGCGTCAAGAGCCTCGGCCTGCGCTTCGGTGATGGGGGGTATGTCGGATGACCGTGGCAAACCCCAGTAGCCCGTGAAGCTGCGTCTGGCATATTGAATGATCAAGCGCTCGGGCTTACCGTCTACTGCTGGCTGGTGATGAAGCAAGGGCCTGGTGCTATATGATCTACCGTCCTTTCCGAACCTTCGTAAGGGGTCAGCAGCAAATCAGTTCTCTTTCCCAGTAACAACTTACTCGTCGGCATTCCAAGGCTCAGCCAAGGTGCGAACCAAATCGGGTCTTGTCCTAGCCAGCTCGTTGTACACGTGCCAACTGCTCGAGAGGTAGCTCTGACCACCTTCAGCGGCTTCGCCGAGTGCAAAGAGCGCAATAACATCACCCGAGTCGGTGTGAAAGACTTGCTTGTCAGTCGTGTAGGCCGGTGCCCCAATCTTGTGGGGATCGACTATCTTAGTAAGGTCTTTAATGTGTGCCAAAACAACGTCTGCCGGCTGGCCTAGGAACTGATTGTCTTGTCTACCACGGATCGGAGCTACGTGACAAGAGATTCCGGCGTAGATGATGACGTTTTCTTCGCGGGTGTACTTTGTGACTGGAACACCACGGATGACCTTGATGCCATGCCCGTTGTGAATTTCGTCCGAGATCTTACGCAGAGTTTTGTGAAGGTGTGGTAAGGGGAATGTCTCCTGGCTGATGTCTCCAAGTGGCCTTTCCGAGGCTGTGCTTGAGATTAGAAGATGCGCTGAGGTCTCATGTGACATGCTGATGAAATGATACACGTACATTTGAAGTGTCCGAGAGCATCATCAATTTCCTTTTTATCAGCGTCTGTCAAGACGTAGTTCCAGTCGTAGTGCTCAGCCAAGGTATTCCCATCCCATACCAACTTCGACTCTAGTTTTTGCGGGAACCCTGTAGGTAAAGACTTGTCAAGATTCTCCTGCTCTTGGCGTCGCTGTGTTCTTGCGATGAAACTGCCGTAATTGGGGGCATATCCGATATCCGGTTGGCCTGGAGGGCCTGCGTAGAATGGGGCTTGAACAGCAGCCGCGGCCATTGTGATGATTTCTTGGACTTGATCTGATAAAGTACTGATGGTAACTGCTCATGGCGGCAAAAGAGAGGAATCAGAGGTGTTTATATCGTCCCCTACTGACTTCGACTGATTCATCAGACGACGTCTTGACTAAAACGTTCTGCTGTGGAGACCATGGGATGACGAATTCAAGCGGAAGCCTCATCCGAGGAGAACTCCTGGAAAACATTACGCTGCTCCGGCAATAGAAACCAATCACTGCATTTGGATTCGGTGAATCAGAATTGCATTTGTAAGATGTTCCCTCTTTCTACGGACGCATTGAGAAAATGCAACAATCCCTAAAGCTCACTGGCCAGTAAGTAGTCTACTCGGTTTGCCCATCTTGCGCCGAGAAGGCGTCATGCCGCATCAATTGTCTTTCTGCGGGGTACTCTGAAATGCGATTTGACGGCGTCATCCTCACGGGAATGTCGCCATTGAAAGTCAGAATCTCGGCCAGACGGACAGTGTCAAGGGAATTAGTAACCGACGTCTCACGGCATATCCTAAGACAACCCGGGCACAACAAGGCTCTGCCCGAACACCTGCCGCGTGTCCACTTCTTCCTTCCTATACCCCGCCCGGCTTTTCTCTCCGCCTCTCCGCCTCCGGGGGGAGGCACCCCACACCGTTGATTTTTCACTCCGGGGAGTTCGGACATGGCCCCACTTGGATCGTTAGGTGCAGGTCACGCGTCCTAGCTCCGATCACTCCGAACGTTCCGAAACATGCGGTAACTGTCCCCTGTTAGTAAGGATTAATATGGTGGCGGCAGTTCATTTGGCCTAGACAATGTGCTAGAATACATGCATTTCCGTCTCAATGAAAGCAAAATGATTGATCCAGTGACAGTATGCCTCGACTCCGAGCAGGAGCTGCCGTCACATTAACATGACAATAAACAGCGCTAGCTTCGGTCAGCCTTCGAGAAATTTCTTGAGGCACTTCTGCACAAAACCAGGTAGTTGACGAGGGGATTGAGACCCTGATTGCACATCCAACCGCAATTAATGATAGGAACCTTCCCTCAACAACGGTGCATTCAAAGCGGGAATCGTCCATGGCATCATTGCTTTCATTGGCCAACTCTTCGCGTTGCGCAAACTAAGAGTGCACTGGTTCTCCATTTGAGCCTTGGCCGTCACCGGTGTTCCTATCGACCCCGCATCCCAGCCCCTGCTACTTGTAGCTCAACCAATTCGGCTCCCGAAAAGAGTCGATACGACTGTCTTGGCGGTGCGACTTGCCCAAGCATCAAAAAGATAATGATTCACTGGCGTAGAGTGCATCCAAGTAGGAAGGTGCTGACGAGCGGGGAAGATCTAATGATATATAATAAAGCTGTGCCAGGTGTCACTACATGATGACTCCGAGAACAGAAGCCACTTTCTTTGTGGCTACTTTCATTCTGGACCTCGTCCTGTTTCGGCATTTTCGTAATGAGGAATGAACTGGCATTCATCGCCCTTGCGGCAGCACTCACTCCGCACTCACTCGCTCAATTTCCACCCACACCTCAGGGGGTTACGGTCTTAAAGTCGAAATTCAATGAAGGCATTCAAATTAGTTACAAAGAGGCAAGATGGAAGCAAGCAAATTAGGGGGCAGAAGCGCTGACTTGATCCATGTATCTAGCCCGGTCTGTGCGAGGAAACTGAAGGCGTGAAATCTTATGCTGGATACATCAAGCTTCCGCCGGGGACCCTCGAGGGGATTGGCCAAGAGCAAGATTTTGAAATTAACACATTCTTCTGGTTCTTTGAGGCTAAGGAGGATCCAGAGAACGCACCGCTCTCTATATGGATGAATGGCGGTCCCGGCAGCTCTTCGATGCCTGGACTGTTCAATGAGAATGGACCATGCTATATCAATGCGGACTCAAACTCGACGAGGCCCAGTGAGTGGTCTTGGAACAACAAAGGTAAGACACATCTCCACAATCAATTAAGATCTGATTCATTGCTCAAACACTCTTTTTAGTCAACATGTTGTACATCGATCAGCCAGTTCAGGTCGGCTTCTCCTATGACTCACTACGAAACGTGACCAGGAACCTCCTCGGAAGCACCCGGACTCTGAACGCCTCATCCCCAATCCCAGCGCAGAATGCCACTTTCCAGACTGGCACATTGGCCAGCGGCGGAAGGAACACGACGAGCTTTGGTAGTCGCAATGCAGCTATTGCCCTATGGCACTTCTCGCAGGTCTGGTTTCAGGAGTTTCCGGGGTACCACCCCAACGATGACCGCATCAGCATTGCAACGCAGTCCTACGGTGGCCGGTATGGACCCGCCTTTGCCGCCTACTTTCAGGAGCAGAACGAAAAGATCGCGAACGGCACCTGGGATGGTACCGAAGGCGAGAAATACATCTTGAACCTGGACACTCTCCTGATCGTCAACGGGTGCATTGACCGCCAAGTGCAGTGGCCCTCATACCCGGAGATGGCGTTCAACAACACGTATGGCATACAAACGGTCAATGAGACGGTATACCAGGGCATGATCGATGCTTACTATGCGGAAGGAGGCTGCCGTGACAGGATTGATGCCTGTCGTGGAATCTCTGCAGTATATGACCCAGATAACATTGGCATCAATACGACCGTGAACAGTGTCTGTCAAGATGCGGAAACATACTGCACGGAGAATGTTCGCGACCCCTATCTCGATGTCTCGGGTCGCGATTACTACGACGTAACACAGATCGACCCAACGCTGTTCCCGCCCCCCTTCACAGCCGGATATCTGAACCAGCCCTACGTTCAATCTGCCCTCGGGGTTCCCTTGAACTGGACAGGTAGCTCGAGTGCATCGTCCTCCGCCTTCCGCAGTATCGGAGACTACCCCCGGCCAGGCTGGATCGAAGATATCGCCTACCTCCTCCACAGCGGCATCAAGGTCTCTCTCATGTTCGGCGACCGCGACTTTGCGTGCAATTGGATCGGCGGAGAGCAAGTGGCGCTGGCGATTCCCTGGGCAGACCAGGAGAATTTTGCCAATGCAGGCTACGAGCCACTGCAGACCAATGCCACTTATGAAGGCGGCCAAGTTCGGCAATATGGCAACTTATCATTCATCCGAGTCTACCAGGCCGGACACGCCGTGCCATCGTATCAGCCGGAATCCGCGTACCAAATATTTAATCGCGCTCTTTTCAACAAGGACATTGCGACAGGCCTTATTGATACCGCCACGAACCTGACTTATGCCACCGAGGGGCCTGCGGATACATTCGGTATCAAGAACGAGATTCCGCCTCAGTACGAAGATTTCTGTTATGTTCTTGACCCTAGCACCTGCAGCGACGAGCAGGTTGATGCTCTACGGAACGGGACGGGCATCATCAAAGATTACATCATGATTGAGCCGGCTTCTCAGCAAGGAACTGCAATTGGATTAAAAGCAAGGGACATGTGAGTTGAACCTTGGGATGTTAGTTGAAGAGCCGATGCTGATAATTTCAATTTCTTTAGTCTCGATTAAGCCTAGAGCACGACTGGTGGCGAAGTCATTGAAATCGACACAAAACTGATCAATGACAGACAAGGATGGCTCGTTTTCTGTAGCACTGAACCTTATGATAGAATCTTCAGATCATGGGAAATCCCCATGTTAGTTATGGCCGTCAAATTAGTGGTGAAGATTCTTAGTAGCCGCTATACAAGCAGGGAAGCCATAACAAGAGAAGTTCTGCCAAATTTCTACAGACATTCATATTATTCACCTCCTCCAGCATTAGAGAAGAACCTTAGGATCATTCCTTCGGGATTTTCTCGGGTATCGTGCTGGTCTCTTGCTCAGACATCTTCAACACACTGTGCTGGTGAGACGAATCCGCTTATGTAATCTCAATAATTATTTCCGGCCATGATTGTCTGAGTTCTCGAAGCGCCCCAACTTGTCTGTGTTGCCAACGCGTGCAATCTAATTTCTCAGGCAGCAACAGGACAACAACCTTATGCGCGATTGCTAACATCTGGAGGGTTGATTTTGAACATATAGTATGTCAGCGCGTTTGTCACAGCGCCAATCCCTCGCGTGTCGCGGTTCGTGATCTATCCCCTGCCAGAAAGACTCTCGGCCTACAGTCCTGACTCAACGCCGTCGCCCATAGAGTGTACTAGGAAGAAGAGAAAGTGCAACAAGGAAATCCCATGCGCAAGGTGCAGTCGTCTAGGGCTCCATTGCGATCGCGAAGTCGTCCATCTGAGGCGCAATGCCGTTCGACATAGTGCCGAGATTGGGTTTCTCGAGACTTTGCGCAGCACGCTTCAGAGCACCGATCCCGCTTCGGCGAGGAGGGCAGCCGATTTGGTGGCAGCTAGACTGGAGGATCTACGGTCGGGCTCGGGGCAACTTACTGAGAGCACGCAAACAGCGAATCTTGTTGAGCCCGGGAGTGGGCTAGAAGATGACTCTGGACAAGACGAAGTCACAGGGTCACAATCTAAAACTCGCAGTTCGCTCACGGTGACTGCGTTAGAGCACATGGCGTGGGGTAGAAGCTATGGAAACTGCTACCCTCATCTACACTGCAACTGTCATCAAAGAAGAGATCCCACCATCACAACTTCAACAACAGGTCTATCGCCGCCCCTCGGATTACCTGATCACACTGCTCCATCTCTTGCCCTTCTCCCTGAGAGAGCCACAGCCGAGATACTCATCTCATTTCACCTTGAGCACATCGCATGGCACCACAACTCCTTACACTGCCCGACGTTTCTGCAGCAGTGCACCACATTCTGGGCAACCGGCGTATACGACCAGCCACAGTGGCTTGCGCTGTATAGCGCGGTGCTCTCCTCGTCGCTCCTGAGTTGGCAGAATAGCTGGAAACATCGCGATGCATATCCGCTCACCCTACCGGGCTGTTCGCCTCAAGATTTGTTCAACTTCATGGTCGACACTCTCTACAAAGCTCATTTCCTGCAGAATGTTTCAATCTACTCCATCCAAGCCATCGTCATTTCAACCGAGGTAGCTCACAATCTTGGCCTCAGTCAACTTAATGCTACCTTGTTCAGCGCTGCGATACGAATCGCCGAGTGCCTGGGAATACACAAGATCACCAAATGCAGCCTCGAATTGCAGACTCCAGATGAAATATGGGATGATATCCTGCAAAGAGAAGTCGGTCGTAGGGTCTGGCTCCAGATGGTCATCCAAGACCACTTTGCAATCCCCTTTACCGACTCATACGGCATTAACCCGTCTCACTACTCCACTTCTTTCCCCAGAAATGCCAACGATACAGACTTGATAGAAGCCCCAGAGGAGGTTTTGACCGTAAGCACGTATACTCGTGTGCTGGGTGGCATCGCGCAGCTGATGCCGGAGCTCGCGGATGGTATGGGACCCTTGAGAGCCCAGAAGCCAGCAAGAGAGCAGTATGCCCATGTTCTCAGGATGGACCAAAAGATGAGAGAGAAGGTTCAATCAATACCACGTTTTCTTCTGCAGAAGGATGAGCTGCTCGAGGGTCAGTGTGTCTGGCTTGGGGTTGCGCGTCAGAGTCTAGCCATTACCGCCGCTGAAAAGGTTCGACCACACCCTAACGAACCCTCAGATACATCACGGTGATGCTAATTTACCCCGCCAGATTGTCATGATCCATCGGCCGTTCCTCTTCCTCTCATTCCAATCTGACTCCTACGTCCACACACGTCGTACCTGCGTCGCAGCAGCAGTCACCATCCTACGCGAACACAAAAGCATCGTGGAGTCAGGCGAAGTCTCGCTCTGGACTCACGTCGCCTTCAGCATCACCGCTGCCATCATCCTTTCGTTCGAGGTCATTTGCGATCAGAGCAAGGAAAGAGACAGCCGACAAGAAGGTTACCTCGACGCGATTCGCGACGCGCGAGAGCACCTCCTGGGCCGGACAACTAGTGACATCCTAGCACACCGTGGCGTGGTGCTTATTGATGCCATCTTCTCCGAGGTGGGAGGCATAGAGTCGTTTTCTGATCGGACGCTTGCTGCCAGGCCTGATGCTATCAACTTTGAGGAGATTGCGGCTAGGTTCAAGACTGATTGGTTTATACTTGATTGTTCTACGGCTGGTCTCGGGCAATTTGACGTTCCGGAAGACCATTTCACCATGTCTGGCAATCCCTCTGAAGATTTCGATGATTGGTTCCAGCAGATATTTCACTCGACCATAGTTGAATAAAGTCCGGTTCACATGGAAAGGACTTCACTTCTCTGCATCATTGAACGGCATCTCTCTACCCACACTTCACGATGCTCTAAGATTGAGGTTATCGGCTAGGCATTCGTGTGTTGGCATCCCAGGATCAATCGAGATACTAGGCAGGTATCTGATAGACATTGACAAATAAGTTGCACACGATGTCTACGTTCTTATCCTCAAACCTTTGAGGGAAGCATCAAGTGGTCAAGCGTGTAACCTTATTTTCTGCGGCAGATTTGCATGGGCTCAAGCGGCTCGGCTTTCACCAAAGCCACCACATTCCTGACTGCCGCGTTGCAGGAAGTGATCTGAACTTGACTGCGTTATGTGAGGCTAGGCGGCGACTTGAGTGCGTTGCGTGTCCAGCGAGTCTCATAAGAGAGCAGCGTCAACTTATCGGGTTCAAACTCAAGAAGACGATGATTTGCAGTCCATCATCGCCTTAGAGCATCCCCTTTACAACAAATGCCACCCTTTACCTCCCTGCAGATGAGCATGAACATAGCGTTGGCCGTCTCAGTTCGCGTCGTCTGCTCAGTGGCCGCTGCGTATGATGGGTCCCTGGTAGGGCCTCTTAACATAATAATGTCCTATCAGAGGTACTTGGAGACACGGCCACAACGGCCGTCAATAGCTGCGCGACATTCCTAGAGGCTCTTCTCGTCCTGCCCTTCACCGGCATCTTCACTAACAAGAGAGGGTGCAAAATGGAAATTCACGCGACAGCCATTGCCGACATGAAGGGGCCGTTGTCGCTGGCGCAAATTGTCAACACTGGAATTGATCGCCGGGCGTGCGTCTGATCATTGCAATCAGCGTGGGGCTGGAGCAGGCTTCTGCGGGACGCCTAAGTGGCGGAGACGACTGCACCATCTGCCCGATATTTGGCACTGGGTGTGTGTTTCTCGTGCTGGGCCGCTGGTTCCGTTCAGTCGTTGCCACTTCGCGGAATACTCTGACCTGGCTACATGTCTATTTCGAGGAGGTCGAGCCAAAGGATCGAACCCCCAAAGAAATGAATTTCCTCTTTGACGAATAGTGAATGGTGCGCAGCCATGAGGAGGAAGAGTTGAAACCTGTTGTGAACACATTCCGACGACATCTCATCAAGATGAAGCAATGTCCCAAGACTGAATCTCCCGTCAGGGCTCCTCCCGAATCGGTCAGCGCACAGTCACCTGACTTGGGCCGAATGCCAATCACATGATCTCGTGTGCTGGGCGTGTGGCACCCAAGGTCCGTGCGTGTCGTCATCGAGGTTCTCCCCCGCCGCCGTCCATTTGGGGGTGGGAAGTTAAAGTACCTATTGCTTGAGGTATCTACCTAATAGGTAGGACAAGGGCGGCCGCTCTTGCCACTGAGGTCAATAAGGTTATTGTCAATCAAGGTGATAATCACCAAAGTTTGCGAAGCTTCGCATTATTTCAGAATTCTCCTCGCAACCTTTTTCATTTCGACCTAGCTTAATTCAAAAGCAGCGATTTGTCTGCGAGCGACTCCTGACCCCCGTTCACTGAGAAGTGCCCCTGATCAACGCCCGTTGTGTGCACGCTTTCGCCACACCGATAGATCTCAATGGCGGGACCCCGCGCCTCGATGTCGACGGCTGCGACCCGCTCCGTCTCCAGCCGCTCTAAGCCTACCGGAAGCTCCACAACGAAGTTGGCAACGGCGACGCCCTCGCCAGCGCGCAAACGAAAAGCCGATACCTCTGACGATGCATTATCCCTATCCCCGTCGTCTCGCAAAGCGAAGAAGCCGAGGACGGTCGGCGCGAGTACCGGCGAGAAGCGACTTCGCCGATACCGATCGAAACCACCTCAAAGCTTCCACGAAGTGTACCATCGAGCAACAACACAGCGTTTCTACGTTCTCGAGCGGCGGCGATGCGGTACCCCGGATGCGCCCGAGGAGGAGGTTGAGTTGACTGGCTCTACTGGTAATGTATACACCGTCAAGATTGGCCAGACCCCGTCGTGTAGTTGCCCGCACTCCATGAAGGGAAATCAATGCAAACACTGGCTTTATGTACGTTCTTCCTCAGATCTGTTCCATCTCTGCTGCATAATGCTAATCATGGCTAGGTTATGTCGCGAGTCCTCCGCGCCAAATTCGAACACACATACCAACTGGCCTTGGTTCCCAGCGAACTCGAGGAGATCTTCGACAAGGCTCCGCCCATCGATTCCCAAGCCGACGGGTCCAAGGACAAAATTCGCAAGCCCATCGACGGCGACTGCCCCATCTGCTTCTGCGAGCTCGAATCTGATAACAAAGAGACGATTGTGTGGTGTCGCGCAGCTTGCGGCCAAAACATACACAAGGAATGTTTCGAGACGTGGGCTGCAACAAAACGTCGCGGCAGCTATGGATCAGGCGATGTGACTTGCCCATACTGCCGCAGTATATGGCAGGGCGATGACGATATGATCAAGAATATCAAAAAAGGCGGCAAGATCACACGTGAGGGATACGTCAATGTGGCTGAGCAACTTGGTATCAGCACTCAAAGAGGTATGGGTGTACCTTTGTGGCGCGTCGCTTTTCAAGGTTGCTGACCCATGATCACAGATTATAGTACCTATTCTAGATGGTGGAGAGGAAGTTATTAGGACGGTTTTACTCGCGACCGTCACATAAAACAAGAGAGACGTTATCACGTTGATGCATAGCGCCTCATCTAGTCATGTCCACTTTTGGAGGTCCTGCATTGACGTGCATCGTATGGTTATCTTTTCCATGCATTGTCCTGTGATGGGAGATTTCTATCACGGACACATTGCAGGCTCCATTCGAACAATCATAGGATGATTGACACGGGTGGCTGTCCCATGAATTAGTTCCCTTGCCACGGAGTCATCTTCAGCAAGGGCTTACCCTTGGAAAGTCAATCAGGTATAACACCTTCCTCGTCATGGCATGAGCATAATATCGCTTGACAGCCTTGATCTGCGGTGCCGCTGACCTTCAGCATAGTGAGCTTCTCCTGCGCCCAGCACCTAGACTCGGCGGTATTATTGATCTTGTTCCACTTCGATCGGCCTCAACCTGCCTCGCTCGTGTCCACTTTCAAATTGCTTATAATGAGCAAGCGCTTTCCCCGGACCTTGTCCCTGAAGTAGCAGCGTTTCATGCTCCAGACTTTCAGTGAACGAGAAATATATCTATCTACGTACCCCAAGCTCTGTCAGCTGTCAGCACGGTCGTGCTCCTTGCAGCCGGGGCTGCGACATTGTGGCCATGGCGATGATGTAAGTATGGAATTGATGAGCTCAAGTTGGGCGCGCACTTTGGAATTGACAACTGGTGCTTAGCTCGGCCTTAATTCTAATCATGTAAAGTGGACATGACATGCAAGATAAGAGTAGCGGCTCCTTCATTCAGTTTAAAGAACCACATAGACTTCGCAGATGGCTCTTGGTGGCTCTGGGGTGCTGTAACAAGACCTTGACAAGTGAATCCATGAGTCATAGCTGGTCATTGAGAACGTGCAGGGTCCTTTAGAGGGGTTACAACCAGATCTAGCGACTTGTAGTCCGAGTGTCCAGCTATCCTGGTGTCAGGTGAAGCGACTACCAAGCATCAACGGCTTGTGTCGTGAGCTACCACATGACCAATACAGAAGCAAACTTTTTTGATAACAAATAAATGTCCACAATAGTTGCCACTCCATTCGAAAGCATGAGCCCCATCATGTCTTCAATCGAAGATATCGGACTCATATTAGGCAAATGCAACGTAGTTTTCGCCCTTCCATAGCGCTATACATGGTGCGACAAGTTTGGTTCTCTATGTGCTGCCGCCGACTAAGCCGCTTACAATGGAGTGACCAGGGTCTCATTCACCGTTAGTTACTATTGTGTGCTGCAAGCTCGATTTGATTTCCAAGTAAAGTCAAGCACTCGGATGGCTTAATCGGGGTATAAGACACTTTGCGAATCCCCGGGTGATGCAGGCCAGACAGCTTGGGGCAAAGACACCTGATCTTCGTGTATGTTTGCTACCTTAGAGTTACATGCATTTTCACTGTTTCTCTCGCTCGGCCTTCAGTTTCTGGTCCTCTTCCTCCGTCTTGGGAACCTTAACAAATGCCGGTACAGTGACAGCGTTGAGCTTGCGTAATGCCTGCAAAAGTCAGCGAACGTCACCTCACAGTGCGATACCGCCTACCCAAAAGGGCCGCCACAACGAGACTCGGCAAAAGACGGCAAAGCTTGCCTGGCCGAGTAGCCCCAGCAGGGTCTTGGTGGCATTGGAAACAGAGACATTGAAAGCATTACGTACCTGAGAGAATGCTCCCTCGGGAAGATCATTGTTCCACTTGTCGTTGACCTTGATGATTTTGCCATCGTCGCCGACCTGAATCTGCACGACACTCTCCATGGTCTGCTCGGTCTTGATGCCCTTGACCGTGTAGCTGTTCTTCAGCTCGAGCTCGATGGGGTTACCCGCCGACGTGACGGTGTGCGACTGGATCCTGATGGGGTTGAACAGCGCCGGAAGGCCGTACCACTGGGCGGCGAACTTGTCGTACCCCTCTGCGACGGTGATGTTGTCCTGAAACGTAGCCGTCTTGGACCACAAAGATAGGTGCTTCAGGGTAGGGTTACCCTCAAAGAGCTTTGGAGGATGATTAGCCGGAGGTTAGGGAAATGCTCACGTAGGGCGAGGGTGATACATACATCTAGCACGCTGCCGACCAGGACCTTCTGCTGCTGCGACAGTGATACCCCAGACTTTTGGACAATATCGCTGTTCTTAATGCCGATGGACTCAAAGGTGGGCGCGTCGGCCCCAGCGTTAGCCTGGACCTTTGCCGTTTCGGAGGGAGTGCCGGACGCCATGTTTCTCTGGACAGACTTTGCAAAGGACTTGGTCTCGGGGTGGGTTGCGATCTTCCTTGCGATGTGACGAGCTGTTGAGTTCATGGGAATGATAGGAGCAGGATTGGTAGGGATGATAGCATATGAGATATTCGAGAGGACTTATGAGGTTTTGTGAGGTTTTGTGAGGTTTCGTTAACTCTGGGTTGGAACCGTTGGTCATCAAAGACACGTCCGGCGCATATTCGTCGCGTCACTGGGCTGACGTGACGAAGGGATGATGATGAGCGCTGACGTCATGACTCGGATCCGGGGGCAATGCTCCGCGCATTCGCTTCTGATATAGCAGTCTCGATCGGGGTTGGTTATTGCTAAAAAAGGGACGTGTCTGTCTGCTTGAAGCTTTGTCCTCCGCGTTCGTGCCGACCATCCCGTCTCCGCGTCCCGGGTGCACCCCCGGCGTCGGGATCCACTTTATGTCCGACAGTTTTCCGGCGCCATCCGGTTCCTCCGTAGCATCCCGTTCGGCACTGGCCATCAATCGTGCCATCGCTTTTGAAATCCCTACTGTCAATCAAGCATTCAAGAACAAAGACCAGAATCCACCATAGTGGGGCGATAAAACAAGTATAAGTATGTAGTACGTCAATTTATTAAGGCCCGTTGCGCGGCGAGTGTCGTAATATGTCCGTCTCTGGAAAAGCTATATACAGTCAAGAATATGTGTGTGTGAAGAAGAAAATGCCAATGGGTATCCAGAATCCTCTCATCCCTCATTAACCAATTCGCGCCGCGACACACCGGGCGAGGATGTCGAAGAAGCCCTGCGCCAAACCCCGTCATGTAGTAGTAGTATTGTTGTTGTGTATCACCGCAGGTGATGATAGTTTGCCCGTCCGTATTCGCCGTGATGCAAGCACCTTATTTGAACTCGCCCTTGCCGTGGCAGCGGGTGAGGGGGATCCAGCTCTGCTTCTTGCTGCAGACGGTAATGGCGCCGGAGACCCAGCTGACGCCCTCGTAAGAGCCCTCGTCGTGGGTGTCAGCCATCCAGGTACCGGTCTGGCGCAGGGAGCCGATGCAGCCCTGGAAGAAGCGGCCGTAGCGGCGGGTGGTCCAGGGGGTGGTGATGACGACGCCGGTGTAGCCCTCACCGACGTTGCCGCGAATGAGGTTGCCGGATTGGGTGGTCCAGGTGCGGGTGAGGCTGATGCCGATGTTAGGGGCGGCAGCGCCTGTGCCACGGCTGATGGCGTCAACGATCATGCTCTTGGTGCCGGTGAGGGTGAGGCCGGCCGAGAGTGAGACCGAGTTGGCAATGGAGTAGGACTTGGAGACCGTGAGGTCCATGCCGCCGCGGGGCCCGATAACAACAGGGGACATTTGCACGTCCCAATCGACGAAACGCTCAGTCTTGTCGATGATAGTGGAGGTGGTGTAGGCGCAGTCGCGCTTCTCGTGGACTGAGGGGTCGTACTCGAGCGCGGACATGTTGGCGGCGGACTCGATCCAGTCATGGTCGATCTCCGGGGCCTCGCTGAGGATGCCTTCGTCATCGAGGAGCTTGTACCAGTCCTCTGTCTTGATGATTTTCTCTGCAAGATCGAGGTCAGCACGTGGCACAGAGTTTAAGAGTGATCGTAAGTGGAGGAAGGCTTACCCTCGCCGTTGGTCAGGAGAACAATCTCGTTGTCGGTTACTCTGTGGTCGGGAGTCCATGTGGTGAGATTGATGCCACGCTCGTGGAGCGGGACCGAAAAGAAAGGAGCGGCGTTGACGGCCGAGGCCATTAGAAGAGTGATGAAATTGGAGGAAACCATTTTGAACGGCTGATGATGTGTGAGATCTGGAGGCGAGAGAGGAGAGGAAAAAGCTGATGAGGATGAAAGACTGGATATTGCCAAGGGGACCTGGGAGATTCTCACGACTTTATACACTGGTGTTCAAGATCATCGAGGTATCTCGATAACTGATAACAATCACCTCGAGACGTGATCTACAATTTGCCGTTGAATTACACCGCGCTGCGAGCGGCGTTCATCTGAAAGTTGGGGTTCCCCTCCCATGCGTCTTCCTTCTTTCGGACGACAACGTTTACCTTGCGAGTCATGGTAGCAGACCCTCATCCATGGGTACATTAACCCAACCCGCCTCGTATCAAGAAATGTAGATTTTCTCCGGCCGAGTACCTCTCAGGGTAACCCGCTGCAATCGTGCGCATGTGCCCTCGTTTCACCGTCTGAGTGGGTAAAGATCGGCCCCGTTTCGTCGGAACCAGACACCGACAGATGGGCGCCGCCCCAGACAAATCCCCATCGTCACCGCAACTACTTGCCTTATCAAGCATAGGAAGTTCCATATTTGCACGATTCAGCGCCCTGTCACGGGGGAGAGAGCTTGATGGCCTGGTCATGTTATCAATCTCTTTTGCGGGTAAAGTTGGATATCTAGTCCTCGCTGAAATTCACACCGAAAGTCGCACGCGAGAGAAAGTGGTCATTCGACGCGTCCTCGGCCGCCGAGCTCATCTCTTGTCGAGTAATGCACATTCAATAGTGCAGTGTCCAATAGATTGGGGCCTCCTGGATGAGGCAGTGGATGAGGCAAGATACGAAGATAGCGAGCTTCTCCTTCGAGCCGGCCATCGTACAAGTATTTCAACTTCCCGTCGTCTCGTCCCAATCTACCCACAAATCAACCTTCTACATCTCATCTTTACCACGTTTTCACAATATTTGCCCCCTCTCCTCATAATCGCCAAAGCTCCTAGAAGCACGTCCCAAAAGCACCTTACTCGTTCAAGATGCAGCTCTCATCCATTCTCCTCTCCGTTGGCCTCATGGCTGCCAGGTAAGCCTTGTCCTAAATCTATCTCGGTTCTACATAGATACTGACGATCTTTTCCTAGTGCTAACGCAAAACTCCACAATGCCGGTGTCTGCGTGACAAACAGACAAGAGATGCCCGTCGGCGGCACTGGCTGGAGTGTGAGCTACACCTGGAGCAAGAAGTACGAGATCTTGCCTGATGCGACCAAGTGCGCTTGCAACTACTACAAGAATCGCAATACCGGAAACAAGCAATGGGACAAGTGCCCCGACTGCACCTTTGTAAGTCGTCTTCTACCGCGCTAAGTAGATCGTAGTCTAATATCATGATTCTAGGACGGCTTCCAGTGCAACTCTGCTGGCTGGCATATTGGAGGCGATGAGCTGAACTACTACTGCAGCAAGAAGTGCGGCGCCCAGGGCTCCGAGGCCAACTAATCTCTTGCCATTACTGCTTTCGAATTTTTTTGCTGGGACGATGACGGACGAACATTGAGATACCACGTTTTTATTCATGGCTGCACATACTTGATTACCATGAGGTTGGGCTGGGACTCGCTTCGAAAGTAGATACCTATTGACATTAGTACATATTCTGATAACTATAATTCACTATTCCTCAAACTTCAATTTCTATGATCCAGTGTCTCCGTGTGTTTCTTGACCGGGCCGCAGAGGGTTCAGCCCACGCGGCATTTGTAGAGTGGAATTAAGACGTTTGTCCGCACGCACAGGCCTCAACGTTGTTTGACTCGTTCGACTCCCGTCTCCGATTATACTTTGACCAGCCACGGGAAGTAAAAAGGCAAAATGACGTCGGGAGGGGACTTCACTAACCTCTTCTGACTTACGACCGCCTCTTTCCATCAATCTTATTTTGACGCCGAAAGAGCCTTGTGTTTCGAGCTCGTCGCCCAAACGTTCGATTCTGAGAACATCACGCTCATGCAGCTGTCGTTCACTTTTCGATTTCTCGGCTCCTTGAGCCGTCTTGGACGGATGCTACCTCTTGGTTCAAAAACGGGACCCGTCGCCAGGGCCCTCCGCAATATCCTCTCTTGTGCAGTGATACGACGTCGCAACGCAATGGGGTAAGTGGATTGTGGTTGGTTGGCACTTGTCGTGCCAAGAGGCTATCGCCAGCACCCCATCTCGGGAACTCTTTGGGTTGGTTCGGCGTGTCTGCGTGTCTGCACATTGTTTTCAGTTCGGCTCCGATGTGGAAGCGGCGGCTTTAATCGCCGCGGGCTTCTCGCCGCTGGAAGGAAGGTGAGTTTGGACTTCGGTTCAACACTGCGTCAAGCAGAAAAGCAAACCGTGACTCGGTTGGTGTGCTGTTTTAGCGACGGAATCGCCGCATAGTTTGCGCTAACCAGGGGCTCCTTGTGGGGAATGGTGTCTACCGTCCAGCTGGCTCACCCCAGCATCCGATGATTAGACTTTTGTACAGATTGAATCTATGGATCGTCTCAAGTAATTAGCTCCTCGGGGTGCAGCTCGCCATTTCAGCCCCCGATGAGGTTCGCCAGGGCTGACTTTAGCTGGCCAGGCTAGCCGTTGTAACGGCGGGTACCTGGCGCGTTGCTACGGTAGGATCGGCCTTGTAGGACCTTACGGAAGAGGGACCGATCAACGGCAAGGACAATATACAAAGTGGTTTGCAGAGGCACGTGTCCCACCCTTTGTTGTGGTTCTCGTCGTCGCATGAGTCAGCCTACGTACAGATCTCCGGTTGCGCGAATAGCGAAGGCTTCTTGGAGGCCATGGATTGAAATTGGGAATGATGCCGCGATGAGCATCTATGACATAGAGATAAGCTTAAGGTGCCAAGCGCACGCCGAAGTTATAGTTGTTGTATTTACGAGGCAAATTCGCCAGAAAAAGGAACGTGATGTGATCGGAGAAGCCGAAACTACATCGTACTCACCATTAAAACTAACTTAAGATTGCTTATAGGTCCTCCTATAGCCGGTGTTTCAAATTTAAGAATAATGCGAGAGCGATAAGATTGCTCTCAACTGGGGGTGATCACGTCTCTCTGGGAGTCTGCCACTCTATACGTTGATTCGACTTAGATCTCACCACAATTTCCGTGGCCAACCAGCTTTGGCCTGAAAGATTAGGAGGCTACGGCACAACTGGAACCACCCGAGCATAACAATCCGGATGATCCTTGTGGGCCAACTAGCTCTCGGGCCATAGGGCGCCGCCTCTACGGAGAAGCTTAGAAGGGGACGGGGCTCTTCCGAGTCAGTTGCCCTGTCATTGGCCTCCTCTTCGACCTTTTTGGTTCAAATCAACAACGCGTCGTGTTGGACATCTTCGAGGTTATTGGCTGAGTTTTACGCAGATGCCTTTATTTGTCCAGGGAATGACCTCTCATCTGGTTGCTGAGTGGAAGACCTGGAGAGAATTCTCCA